TTGCTACTTATCGCTTCTCTGAAACCGCGATTTTTTATCGAAAAACATTCTGTTCTGGTAAAGCTCGTAAAATGTTCAGAGCTATGATACGATTCAGTTGGCTAGTTCTTAGGATATGACAGATTTCCCGGGATTTGAACTGAAAGCTATTCAAAGCATATTCCACACCGGCCACATGGGCGGGTCATTTAGACCATTGCGCCTTGCTTACTGGTGCGCTTCTTCTTCTCTTTGCCACCATAAAATATGTGATTCTCCAACATAGCGCAGGAGGTACTGGACGGAGGCTGGTAACTTTACAATGTGTGACCTTCGTGAATTCGGCACATTCGCGAAGAGGTTTTCATACATATCGATTCGGAGAGTTAGCGAACCGAGTGGACAAGAAATCGCGGGATGGCTCGGGTACAGCTGGAAGAAGGGGGGTCATATCTGGTCTTGATTGAATAAGTTCCGAGCCGCGATGAAAGTCTTTTCTGTTTGTTGATTTTCGCAATTTTTCCCGTCCCTCGGGCGCTATACTATCCGCGCCACCTCCTTTTCCCTTTCTTCGAAAAAACGTAAAAAACTTTGGGGCAGTCATGGAGAGTTGAAAAAATCCAGGAGAATTGGAAGAGGGGGACACACCCGTAAGGAATGTTCAAGATCTGTGAATCTTTGCCCGCCTCTTTGCCACTCCAAGTCGCTGGAGTGTTGTTAAACAAAGATTTCCAGGCGAACCGACTACGGTAATAACCAGCCTTCATAAAGAACTACTATGATATTTTTAGAGGTCACACTTACCGCACGCAGTGTACTCATCGAGTAAAAAAAAGTATTGGGTCACTGTAGTAACCCTGACCTTTTACTTAACCGAGACCAGTCACTCACTCACTAGAGACCTTTTCAAATCCGACCAGGAGGGAAACAGACTTAACCTGAGAAGCGGAACTGGCAGATATTTTAGCACCCAGGCTTGATGTATCAGCACTGTGCCAGATCTGATTTCTCTAAAAATTAGCTTTAGAGGCCATTCCTATGGTTTTCCATAAAAAAATGTCGTGACAATGACTTTCAGCCAAATATATCATCTGGCCCCTTAACCGATTCGATCAATAGAGAAGTTATAGGGTTCTCATTGCAGGTATTACGATTCCTAGCCGAATTCACTGAACTTTTTGACATAGCTCCAGACAAAACACGAGTGTCGGTCGTTCAATATTCCGACCAAATACGGTGAGTTTCAAATTTCCTTCAAAGACACAAAGGTACCATGTGTGTAGCGAGGGGCTTCCTTGCGAGGGTGTCACTAGCCATAGCAAAGGGAGGGTGAGATGTTTTCGGTTAGGCAGCGTTCATAGTTCGCGACAGCAGCAGCGATCGCCGTGATCGCCAGTAGGAGGACCAGCTCGCCCCAAGATGGACGGATTGAAAAACTTGTTGGAAAGGTATTTTCATGTGGTTTTTTTCTTTCTTCCGCTTAATCCTCTTCAACGTCCCCCCCCCCACCTCCCTATCCTTCCCCGACCTCGCCCCCGACTCCGCCCCTCACTTCCCTGAATCCGCCCCATTACTTCATCACTTCTTCATAACGCCTTTCACCTCCCCGATTTCAGGGAAATTCCCCCGCCGACTCAGTGGCGTGTGTCATTAGGTCCGCCTGGGGCACCACGTACTCAGTGTGTCATTAGCCCTCCGCCGCCATGCCCTCTTCCCCTGCTACCAAGCCCCGCCTCCGACCCCCCACTTCTCCCAAAATTTTCACTTTTTCTCAAGGCTTCCCACGGGCTCCCACGTCGCTCCCCCCAAGTACCCAGGCAAAGTGTGTCATTAGGTCCGCTTGGAGCACTACGTCTCACTGTGTGCGCCGCTCGTACTACTTCCACTATTTCGGCAATTCCCCCGTCCAATCAGTGGGGTGTGTCATTAGGTCCGCTCTGGGGCACTACGTCCTCAGTGTGTCATTAGGTCCCCAGCCACGCCCATATCCATATCCCACCAAGCCCCGCCCCCGACTCCGCCCACTTCTCTCAGAATTTTCGTTTTTTTTCTAGACTTTCCCACAACCTTCCCCGTCCCACCCTAAGTACTGAGGCAAGGTGTGTCATTAGGTCCGCCTGGGGCACTACGTCCCACTGTGTGCGCCGCCACGCCCCCTTCCGTATGCCACCAAGCCTCGCCCCTGACTCCGCCCACTTCATAAAAATTCACCATTTCTTCATGAGACTTGGTATTTTCACCTCCCACACTCCCAAACATCACTGCCCACGGAAGTAGAAAATATGAAACTATGTGAAATTTTAAACCGGGCTGATATCTCGATCTAGAAGCCTATTCAAATGCACCCACTTATTAATCAGAATAACCCTTCACTGAGAGTACTAGTGGGCGGGAGATAGAAAAAACCACATGAAGATAAGAAAAAAACGCACATGAAAATACCTTTCCAACAAGTTTTTCAATCCGTCCATCTTGGGGCGAGCTGGTCCTCCTACTGGCGATCGCCGCTGCTGTCGCGAACTATGAACGCTGCCTTAGGCCGTGACAGAACTGTCACATTATTTCGGTGAAAGGGTCTAGACGAGCAGATAAGACGTTGCTCACATTCAATGGAGAGTAACCTCTCCTGATGGACATAGGCAACATATTTACATTATTACTTCGGAAGCGCCAGACAGCGATCCGTCTTACCCCACATAGCACCTTTATCGATTTTTCCTCGGTTAAATTAAATTACTGTATTTCAGGCACGAGTTTGGGCTGAACGATTACAAAGACAGTCGTTCGCTTCAAGACGCCATCAAGAACATTGAGTGAGTTCATGGAAAGTCTACGGCTGAATTCGCACTCTCAACCGCTTTTTAATACGCATTACCATTAGGCAACCATTACCGATTACGCACGCGTGAAATCAATTCTATTTGGGAGCACACGCGTAATATATCGACCTGTAAACGTATAAAAATATTTTTAAGTAGCTTTTTCTAATAGTTTCCCTGTAAATGCTCAGTACTGATCTTACACTTTATAAATTCTCCTTGGTTTGGCCGTTCTGGATACTCTTCCAGGATCAAAGCCCCGAAATCTACCGCACTCTTCTGGTAATCGATATATCGATTATTTCAGCTATTTCTATCAAGCTCTTTTACAGACCCCTCGAGAGGTAGTTATAGAGCTGGAGAAGACTGAAGTCTAGCCTTGTTCATGATAATAGTCACAATAGAAAAGGAGCAGAACCCCTCCAACTCCCCTCCCCATCCCTACAGGTCATTTTTAACTGATTCGATCAGATCAGATCTCGGATCAGATTCTGCTCACTATGAGCAACATCT